GGAAAAAGACAATAATAAATAGCAACATCGAAGGATAATAACGAAGGCTCCCACGAAAGCAGGCAGGTGCTTTCCCACGCATCGTGTGAGGTGTGATACGCTGTAGCCAGAAAGACAGGCAGGGCAACAAAGACACCGTACAGCTCTCCTCGAACCAAGTCGAAGATAACGATACAGCGAGTTTACGCAAGACCGCAGAAGACGACGACCCGGCCGGCGTGAACAGCCGCCATCGGCACAGAGCGACGTTGTGCAGGCCACAAAAGTCAGCAGTCATGCACTCAACAGTGGATATCGTTCTAAAGCAGGTGGCCACCATTACTCCGCCTTGGCCTACACGACGCGTCGATCAAACAATCGACCGCGAACTGCACAAATCCCGTGTCAAACAAAAGGGATCCTCCAGAACTGCTCTGGTGGGCACGGACAGTTTTCCTCGAGCAAACCACTGTCCAACGTACACCTTCCCATCATACATACAGCACCAGCACCATTCCCTTGACAATCTTCATCGGCGGCGCACATGATACAAGACGGAGGAGCTTCAAAACCATTCAATAGGGGCGGAGCCCGCGTCGGTGGGAGCATTGGTCCCACTGGGAAGGTTGGTGCCACCACCGTCACTACAGTCGGCTGGATCACCCGACTGGAGTCCACACTCTCCATTGAGACAGTTTCCACTCTGACCAATGCCGAGGGTTCGTTCGCAGGCCTGAGCATGGGCGCAGAAGGGAGTGATACAGAGCCAGGGAGATTCCCCGTCGAGGTCTGATAGTCGCGATCTGACCGTCGGTACAGCTGGGCATTGTCGTTGGGTGTTGCAGAAGCAGCGCCATTGGATCAGTGTTCCTGTGGTGTTTTCGGCACAGACCATGGCGCTGCCAGAGGGGCGCTCCTGGGTACGCTGCGAAATGCATTACAGACAGCCCGATTGGCGAATCACTGCCCATGTGACAAATCGAAGCAGGACCCACCCGTTGGCCAGTGATCCGGGTGCGGGTCGGGAGGTAGGTGGTGCCTGGCTGAGGAGTATCGGGTGTGGAGCCCTGAGGTGTTGGTCCGGGAGAGGAGGACCCTGCGGAGTACCGGGCGAGGTGGACCCTGAGGTGTGCCAGGAGGTGGACCCGGTGGACTTCCACCCAAACAGAGTCCCCCGTTACAGATATTGGAGACACAATCTCCATTTTCCGAGCAGAAATCTTCATTGAGTCCCTTGGCAGCACAGATTCCGACCGACGAAGCTCCTCCCAAGGAGATGAATGGCCGACAGCGTTGCGATGCGCACAAATCATCTTGATCGCACCAATGTCCATTGGCCCATGCCGGTGCGGCCGGAATGGGGAAACAGGATTCCAGCGCCAGCTGTTGGATGCGTGTGGTATAGAGCGACAATTGAGACGGCATCATGACATCGGCATTAGGGTCATTGTTGTAAATACTGGCTCGAGTGGAATCATCGTTGAGTTCGAGCACAATGGTTTGAGTTTCGTCGAGAAAGACGGGCGTCCCGTAATGATGCAATGTAGGCATGTTGGGAGTGCTGCCGAGTTGTGGAATGGCATCAAAGAGGTTGGTATCTTGCGACGGGACATAGGCCAAGTTTACGAATCGCGTATGACGTAGCGCCGCTCCATGGTTCATGAGTGGACAATTGGGAGCAATAGCACGAGGAGCTCCAAAGGTAATGACTTGGGGTTCGAGATCCAACAATGTCAAACTCGCGACGAGCGCGGCACCTCCTCCCAAGCCGTGTCCACCAATCACAATGGGACAGGCTTCGGGATCCAACGCCGTGGGTATGGGAATGATGCGATTCTCCATGACCACAATGGGTGTCTCGGGGGAATTGGGGAGTCCTAGCTGATTGGTATTGAGACAAGTGCTGGCGCATTGTGCCAATCGCAAATCCCAGAATTGTTGTTCAGGTGCAAAGTAGGCCGAATGAGCTCGTTCATGCACGTTGCACGTTTGTTGAAAGGACGACAGTGGTGTTGTACCAAAGTTGAACAAGTCTTGCGTTTCCGTGGGAGCAAAGATTCCATAACAAACGCCATCGACCTTGGCTACCATGGCCTGATTGTTGGTGTTTTGATTGTAGACTCCCAACTCGGTCAATTCAATTGGCGGTGGCGCCGCGGGGAATCCCGTCTGCAACCACTGCGTGAGCTGTGCCGTGACGCGACTCCTCTCAACCAGATCCCTGGTCAAAACAGTGTCTTGTTGTTGTATGTTCCTCCGTTGGGAGTGCAAGTGCCACACAATCCATTGATGCAAGAGCTAGTCCCGCAGACAGCGTCTTCGGTACACGGTTTCCCGGCACTGAGTAGACAGAATCCCTGTATGTCACAAGCTCCCGACCGACAATCCATATTGTCATCGCACATGGCTCCATCGTCGAGCAACATGGCATCGGTGGGTGCCGGAGTGGCAGGGACAGGAACGGGCGCGGGTGTCATGAAGGGAGCGGGTGTCATGAAGGGTGCAGGTGTGATGATGGGTGCGGGCGTCATGATGGGGGGCAACGAGGGCATGGCCGTGGGCGCATCGGTGAGTTGTGCGGAATCGACGCATTGGAGTGTAAAGTTGAAAATGGCAAAAATGTCAGCTTCCGGGTCTTCGGGAATGACACCATCGGCCCATCCGTCATTTTCTTGAGTCGTTCCGTCGGCATTTTCTCGTACGAGCTGTGCAAAGGCGGATCCTAGAATCTGTTCTCCTTCGGCGGCAGCCAAATTGCAGTCGAATCCGGCATTGGCTAGCAAGACAGGGAATCCGTAGGTCGTCACGGGTTCGTCGGGATCAATGTCATTGTCGCTCTGGTAGGGGAAACGGTCGGTACGGGGAGATCCGTCTTTATCGGTCTCTAGGTCGTCGATGTTCGTGTTGAACCATGCACTGGTCTCGGCGATTTCCCATCCATTGCTAGTATCAAACGAGGCATAAAGCAATGCAGTGTCCTCGGGATCAATCACCAGACAAAAGAATCCGGCTTCTTCAAAGGGCAAGTTGTTTTCAATGGCAAACAATCGACGGCATTGCGCGTCAGTGCCATCGTCAAACTTTAACACATAGTTTATAATGGGAGGAATTTGACCTGACACTACGGTTGCCAAGAGAAGCAACGGCAGAAGAGACGCCATGGATTGCGTCGTTCTATTCATTCTCTCTCTTTCTCTCTTCTTCTCGCTGTTCTTCTGGTGCTCGCGACTCTACTCTGTTCTGGACTTTATAGCGTAGAGGACTGACTACTACTAGCTAGAAGAAGTGCTTTGAGGTTGTCTTTGCAAGGGACAATAGCTTAGCTTCGTTTCATGTGCGAGAGATCCATTGATGAGACGGTGAAGAAGGGTGGAAGCAAAGTTGGCTCCATCCGCCTAAATAACGTGCCGAAGATTTATTGAGTGGCCGTTTCCTCAACGGCATTTTCGATAAATCTCCAAACGATTGACAGAGATAGGGATAATCGAATCGAATCTAAAACCCAAACTACTAGTATCAAGAACGTCTGGTAAGATGAGGTAAAGTATTTGCATCGTCCTGATGCCACGTCACGAAACTCCGGTGGCTCACCCGTGACTTTTGTGGCTCGCTTTGCTGTATTTTATTTTAAATAGCCTTCTTTTCAAATCCTAATGATTTAAAATAGCCGATCGCCTGGTGCGTCGATGAGAACGCTTCAAAGTCAATGACCGCTTCGGATGGTCACAATTGCTAACCACTGACTACGCACTCCGAATGATCTTCTACGGTAAATACGGTACTGGACCGGTACACCGGTACCACCAAAAGAATCCTCCACACATTCTCATTGTTTTTCTGTCTTGGACGTACGTCTTCCATTCAAAAGAGCCCAAGGACTGAATTCAAGTTGCCAACCTTCCAGGAAAACAAACAAACAAACAATGAGCGAGCAAGAGGCCAACAATGATGGGGTTGAAGCCATTCAAGTAGTGAGCGACAAAAAGTCTGGTGCATCATCATTGATGCCGCTCTCTACCACATCCGCCACATCGGCCGCCAAAACTCTCACCAAGGCTGCGGCAAGTTCTGCGACACTCACCAAGGCTGCCACGGGTGCCGCTGCCACAGGTGCCGTGACACTGACCAAGGCTGCCACAAATGCCGCGACGGATGCTGCCACTATCAACTATAAACTTCGTGAAATGCAAGATGGTGCCGTGCCTCGCATGATGCATTTTGCAGACAAGGGCGGTGGCGACGGATCGTTGCTCATTGAAAACGCCGCCGAACAAAAGGCGAGCTTGGAGGAACTGGAAGCACGCGTGCGCCAGGGAGTCCCCAATGAGTTTGTCACTTCCATCCTGTCCATTTGGGCATCCTTCAAGGTCCTCTTTATCTATCTGGTGACGATTGAAACCTACATTGCGCTCGCTGGATCGATAGGAATGACTTGCTACTGGTATTTCACCCACAAAGACAACACCACGTGGGATGGAGGGGGCCTTTCGTGGGTGCTCGTCGGCTTTGCCGTTGTCTTGCCCATGTCCAACCTCGTCAAAATGGGATTTGGTCGCCGCGAAGAAGCACTCAAGATACTCGCCAGTCTTCGGTCCTGTCAAACCATGCTCTACCATGCCCATGCACTCTGGGATTGGGACAAGGGGAACGGTCGCGCCAATGCCGATCTCGACATTTTGGCCCATTGCGACGAACTGCTCGATACCATGTATGTGGGAGGAGAAGCGCTGGTCCGCTTCTTGACGCTCCCCACTTCCACACTGACGAGACATCAAGTGACGTATCATGGACAACAGGAAGCTCATCGAACCTTGGACGTGGCCGTACAACTGTACGATGTCTTTGCCAGTCGACAAATGGTCAAATACACCAAGCTCGCGGAACGAATCAAGCGAGCTGGATTGTCAGGAAGTGAGTTGTCGCGGGTGGAAGGCTTTCATCGCACCACCCAAGAAATGTTGGAAAAGTTGCGCTTTCTCAAAATGTACCGGACTCCCCAAGCTCTGCGATCCTTTGCGAGGGTCTTTACCATTTGCCTTCCTGCCTTTTACGCTTCCACATTTGCCCAGCTCGCTATTGAAATCCAGTCCTTGGGAATGGGCATTGCCATGGCCGTCATTACCACCCTTTGTCTTACATCCCTCTATGAATCCATTCTGGTCATGGAAGACCCATTTGTGGCGTTTCTCGTCTTGGATGGCATTTCCATCCATGAGGAACTCATGCTTCATAACCAGCAGGTATTGACAGCCAGGGAAGAGATCTTTCCAGATGCAGCTCCCTACAAGATTCCCAATAGTAGTAGTAGTAGTAGTGCAGCAGCAGAAACCGACAACAGCTTTGCAGACGAACAACCAGGCAAGATGAAAGGAGAGCAAAGTGGTATTCCGCAGCGTCGTCAATCAGCAGGTATGCGTGGAAGTCTACTCTTCAAGACCAATGGATCCTAGTAGTAGAATGCCAAAGTATATTATAGGTGAGCGAGCAGACGCAGAGAGCAAGCAAGCACCGGCGGGCAAGACAACGAAAGCAACGACGACAGCACAGAGCACAGCACATCACGACACGCAGTATGACTTTTAGAAACTAATGCATCTACCGCAGCTAGTAGCAACCATGCTCCTGAACTCTTGTTGCACATTCGTACTTTTATAGTACGGTAGCGTGCGGGGAACTGAAATTCCGTCAATACTGGTCAAAGTCGTTGCGTCATTGTTTGTAGAACCATTGATTCTCCATCCATGATGAGAGTCTTGCAAATGAGACCACACAACGACTTCAGTGCACAGATGCAAAGATCAGGAATCAAGATCCAAAGCAAGGCCATCCAATGAGTTAGGGTGTTTCATGCGAACCTTTATGCGATTGAATTCCACAATCCTTCCACCAGGAACAACGCAGGAGCTGGTTCCGGTGCTGGTCCGTCCGAGGGGAGAAGTCGGAGCCATGGCAACCACTGTGGTTGCTACCGGTACCATGGTGTCTAGTATTTACTGTCAATGAAAGAGCGTTCTAGTAGTCTAATAAGTGTTGTTCCTACAGACTCATTCAGGAGGTTAGTTAGACTAAAAGTGAGCATAAATTTGCTCCTACCTACCCGTCTTACCGGTATCCGCATTGATGAATTGATTTTCTCACCGTAACAGCACACAGTTGGGGAAGACAAATTATTACTACTAGCTACCAGTACTAGCTAGTAGTGCAGTACGCTACGTACTCCAGTATCGTACACAGGTAGTGTTCAAGTTTAAAACCAAGGTATTTAGGGTGTTAAGACTTGGTTTTAAGAAAACGCGAACCCCACGACCCCAAAAATCTCTGCAACTCCAAGAGCGCAACCACTTCGTGCACACCCTTCATTGATTGGGGCACTTTCAGAAAACGATGTATCGTATTCACAGTGATGTATCTATCATTATTCCTGCAAAACAACAGCAACTTTGCCAGCGTGTGCGCAAAAACAACCAGTACCTCGTCACTGCCGTCTTCCGTGATATTCTAACATCTACTACTAGTAGCTAACTAGTCTGAATCACTGTCGTCGCCGGCGCTTTCGCCGCTCGATTGGTACTTTTTCGTTCGCTCTTGGAACTTTTCCAAGAGACGGATGGCAAACACGGTTGACATCATCGTCTCTTTGGCTCCAGCAGCACCGCTTCCTTCGGAGCTACTGTCGTCGTCGTCGTCGCCAGCATCTCCGTCGTCGTCGCCCTTGTAGAATCCCGATGGTCGGGATTCGTGAACTCTTTCAATCAATTCGCGAATACCAGAATCCGGTGGGAACCAAACATTCATCGATTGTTTTGTCTCCTCCTTGTCGCTCAGCAGCAGCTTGTCGTATAATTCCTTCCATCGGTAAGCGTCGCATAAAACCCATTTGGGGTTCAGCGGGAAGGTGAATCCTTGCTCAATCTTCTCTTCCAAAATGTCTTGCAAGCCCTCTACATCAACGTACGCCCATGGCTTGTTGTCCGGTAAGTCGTTAGCAATCACAAGAAATTCATCATCCAGATCTTGTGGGAAGTAATAGTTGAAGCATTCTGCACCGTGCCGCACGGCACCTGAATGGCTCAATCGAGAAACGGCGTTCTTCATGATGGAGTAACTCTTTGGGTCTCCAAACCCAAAACGGGGCATTTCGGGGTAGAATCCTTCTCGTGCAGCCTTTTTTAGAATTTCAAGCCAGTTGACGGTCCAACTGTCGCCCACCTTCGAGCTCTTCATCACACTTTCAATCTCACCCGTGTACCACTTCAAAACATTCAGTTGATTGGTTGCCAGTGTGGACTGGAATTGTACACGCTTCGTTCCAACGAGGAAACAGTCAAAATCAGACACGACGGGCATCACGCGACCGTGTTCCTCGTAGGCAACTAAGAGTTCAAATGGATTCATGGGGGAGTCGGAATCAGCACTCTGGTAGACAACTGCTCGCGGCGCATTTTCTTTTGGTTCCGCACGAATTGCGGCAAAGTTCATGTCTTGGAATGCTGGTTGGGATGGACGACCAGTGTCGTATTCTGAGCCAGGTTTTCGTGTGCAATCTTGTCGAACAAAATAAGCTTCCCAGTACAAACGCTCGGGGATCTCCAAACCATACCTTTCGGGAGCATAGTCATCGATATACGTGATCGATGGGTCAGGTCCCAGGTCCAAAAGCATCGCATCCAATGCGTCCTTCCGTGCTGATTTGGAAGCGTCGTTGTCAGCCAGCACCGCCCGGGCTTCTTCCACCGTCTCCATCATCTCCAGTCCTACCCGTTCCAATTTCTCTGCTGCAATATCACGCCCTCTTCTAGAGTCGCCGGGATAGAAGACTCGAACGACTCCTTCTTTGCTTGGCGGCCGGATTTTGCTCTTATGCTTGTTTTCTCCGATCTGCAGAAACGGAACGAACCCAGACAACTTGCCTCGTTTTGCAGATTTTCCCTTAATGTCCAGGCCCTTACCAACGGCTTGTCCGAGCATCATTTTTCGGATTCTGTCAAAAAATGGGAGGGCACAGGCGAATGAGCAACTAAACCATCTCGAGGAACCGCAGAGTGAAACTGGGAAGCATGAACAAACACTTACGCATCTGCCGAGGTTGGGCGCCAAACTGTGAAAACTTGCGCTCGACTCGGTAGGAAATTGTACAACGGCCGCAAATTGTCGACATCCATTACGTTCGTTTCTGCATTTTCCGCTCCGTCTTGAGCAACGAAGTCAAAGAAATATCGAATTTGATAACGCGGGTCGAGCCGATGGAATTTGGACGCCCAATCCATGAATCGATTTTGCATTGTCTCTTTTCGCACTTCGGACGAAGACACGCTGCTGTTGTCGTCGTTAGCCACTAAATGTCTGGTACTGATGAAGGGGGCCGCTTGCGTAGAGTGCATGCGGCGCTCGAAATTCGCCATCTTGTTTGCCCAGTCTCGGTCCTCTTCTTCGTCAACGTTGAAGGAGAAATTGAAAGATTGTTGTTGCATGCTGATGCTGTTCTGGGAATCCCTCATGTCGTCTTGGCCCGATTGATCAGATTCATCGTCATCACTAGATGCAAAAATATTCCGTCGTGCTCGCTTCTTCTCGAGATTCAATCCCTTGTAGCGCTGCGAGTTGCCGACGAAAAAGTAGGGGATGTTGGAATCCTCGAATTGTCGGTCGTTTGTAACGTGTTCGAAAAGGTTGAATTCCTTTGTGATGGCTCGCCCCATTTGCACAGCTTCCTTGCGGCTGGTAGCCGTACAGGAATCGACAAGATAGTCGACAGCTTCGCATCCCAGGAAAGATTTCTTGTATGTACGGAGACGGAACTTGTGCTCCTTGACCTTCACGCATGTTTCAAAGTCTTTGGCAATGACCATCAAACGCGATACGTCGATGTTGATTGTTTCCATGGGGCGAATCTCGCCGTCATAGCAGAATTGGTAGTACAAGTCCTCATCTTCAAACTCATGCTCTTGGTCGACGTGTTCGAACAAGCCAAATTCTCGTGCAAGAGATCTGCCCAGATCAACGGCCTCCACACGACCTTCCGCAAGACCCGATCCCACAAGAAAATCGACAGCGTCCGATCCCACAAACGCGTCATCGGGCTTTTTGCTCTTTTTCTTCTTCTTGCTCTTCTTCTCCTTCTCTTTCTCTTTCGGGTTCTCGCTTTGATCTCGCCCACTTCCTTTCAATGAATCTCCAGTAGTGGTTCTCAGGAGGATTTCACCGGCCTGTGTCACTATGTCTCCGGACGATTTCAACAGCTCGGCTGCGGCACTACGTCTTTGATCTGGATTCTCCATCATTCCTCCTCCAACCCTCACTCCGTTACGGAATGCCTCTGCAATTATCTCGAGTGGTAATGATTTCAAGCTGACAGAATTCAAACCAGACACGGCAGACACCAATCCACGCAGAGGCGTTTTGCTGTCGCCGCTGCCTTTCAGCTGTTCTTCGAATTGTTGCGAGAATCGATATAAGAGATAATCATCCTTGAACTCTCTCTTGCCGTCGATTCCAAGGAACAAGCCAACATCGTGAGTCAGCTTCTTCCCCAAGTCCACGGCATCCTTCCGAGACTTTGCCAGACTGGAATTGACCATGAAACTGACGGCCTCGCTCCCAACGAAGGTTCCTCGGTAAGCTTTCGCGCGGAATTTGTGTTCCTTGACTTTCACTCCGTTTAAGAAGCTCTCAGCTATTGCCAACATTTCATCCGACACATTCTTGACCGCAAGGGATGCTCTGCTGGCTTCACTGCGATTCAGGAGGAAAGCACGGCCGGATCTTCGCTTCCTCTTATGCTGTGGTAAGTCCTCCTCGGGAACGGTACGCCGATCCGCTGGTGTGAAGCGGAAATATATTTGATCATCCTCAAATTCTCTGTTGCCAGTAACCTTTTCAAACAGGTTGTATTTTTCCACTAATTGGCACCCAAGACGAACCGCGTGGCCTCTTGATGACGCCAAGCGCGTGTTGACCAAGAAGTCCACAGCTCGGGAACCCATGAAAGTGTTCTTGTAGGTCTTGAGCCGGTATGTGTGGTCCTTGACTTTGACGCCTTGTTCAAAGGTAGCCGCCACTTCTTTCAAGGGTAACTCCGCCTTGACAGGTCTTGTGAATCGCTCCTTCTTATCAGTGAACCGAAAGTAAAACATGGAATCACTGAAGTCGTGCTTGCCTGTCACTTCTCTGAACAGGTTGAACTCTCGCTCCAGACGTCTTCCAAGCTTGGCCGCATCAACGCGAGAATCCGCGAGGCCAGATGTCACCATAAAAGTCACAGCTCTAGCCGCGACAAAGGTATCCTTGTAGGAAACACTTTTCTTGGTTCCAGGTTTCTTGCTGTTGTCGCCGACCTTGATGCCGCGTTCCAAGATCTCTGCTACTTCAGTGAGCCGCTGGTACTCTTTCGGGAGATCCTCTTCACCGTCTTCTTGTTGGACGAACCTTTCAAAGTCTTCTGAGTCGTTTCCATTGGTACTCCTTGACACGAAAGACGAACCGCCCACGGAAGAAACTCCGTCGTCATCTTTGTCATAATCGTCGTCCTCCTCCTCGCCACTGATATCTGTGTCCTCTCGTCCCATGGAAATCAAGCGTGTTGACAGCATGTTATCAATGGAGAAATACCGATTCCGCTTGTCGACAAATCGATACAGCTTGTTCCTGGAGTCTTCAAATTCGTGATCACGTAATATTGGTTCAAAGAGATTGAACTGACGAACGAACTTTCGCCCCAGTTCGACTGCTTCCCCTCGCGTCTTCGCCATTCGTGTCCGCACCAAAAACTGCACCGCTTCGGAACCAACAAAGCATTTTTTGTGCTTGCGCAATCCTTGCCGTCGCGTCTTGACTTTGACACCTTCCTCGAAGAGTCGTACCTTGGTCATCATATTCATCCTCTTGACTTCCATGGGCAAATACGCGACGATGCGGTAGTGGATGTTGCTGGAATCGTGCAACAAAAAGGCGGAATAGTTACCGCCGCCCGTAAGGGAGTTAGCCGTAGACCGCAACGATCCTGTCACTCCGTCGTGGCTGTGCACTTTGATGACCGAAGAGACACCACCGGTGCTAACGGGGACGAACAATCCAAAATGTTCCACCAATTCACGGCCTACTTGGAGTGCCTCGGAACGATTTTTGCGTGTAAGATTACTCAGAAAGTCCACAGCAGCACTGCCTGCAAAACACTTCTCCTGTGTTGTTCCCTTCGTACGACCCGGCATGGACGTGTAGGCCAATCCATCCTTTAATGACTTGCCAATGGCTTCCAATTGTTTGAGATATTCTTCCGATGGAGGTTCCTTCTTGCTCCTCTTGCCAAAAACGCTGTCAACTCTTGGAATGGGTTCTTCGGAACGAGACCGTGTCTTGTCTCTCGAGGGAACCGATCGATCACTAGGTCTTCCACGTGGTGTGTGTCCAGATTTGGCCAGGCTGTCCTGGGCGGAACTCTTGGCTGCCATGGATTTTGCGAATCGTCCCACTCGATTCCGTACCGGTGATGGCTGTCGATGAACCGCTCGCGACCGGACTGGTGACGTGTGTACTCGTCGAATGCCTGCTCCCAGCGGTGACACACTGCGTTTCTGGGTCACATTGCTTGCCGTATTGGCTCTTGTTGCACGGCCACGACGAGGAATCTCCTGTTCTTGTGGTGCCGCTACAACTACGACCTTACTGCTCTTGCGCGATGCCGTGGAAGATGCCACGGATGCGGCAGAACTTTGTCGTGACGGCGACCGCTCGGAAGGAAAAGCGTCGGTACTTCTGCGTTGCGGTGATTTGGATTTTGGCTTTCTCGACGACGACATGGACACAACGCCGCTGACTTTTTTCTTTAGTCCCCTCCACATGCGACCTACCTTGCGATTGTCTTTGAAACTATTGCTTCGCTTGACTTCACCGAAGGATGGTGGTTTCGCCAAGGTGGCGCTGGACGAGACACCAGAGCCACGTGGCCGTGCCGCAGACTCGCCCGGCACCTGCAAGACTCGTTGCGAGGCTCTTTTGACGGCTTGTTGTGTGCCCGGAGTGGATGCGACGGAAGCAGCAATGGATGATTCGTCGTCATCTGTACTAATGCCTCCACTGGCGCCGTTTCCACGAAAGTGCAAGAGACTGGGCTTGGTTTTCAGATCGGACGCCGATGAAGAAGCCGTTTCCTTGAAGGGCTTGTTGTTGGTGGTGTGTTCACTAAAGTTGAGCTGTGAAGCGTCAAGCTGATTTGGGTCTTCTTCTCTAATGGCTTTGATGGCAGGCTTTCGGTAGGAATGCTTGGGTTGTATTTTGGGCGGAGGTGGAGCTGGTGCTTCGTCCAATATGGAATCAAAATCGACACTGGATTCGCTTTCATGATGTATCTCCGGCGGTACTGGTGAGTTTCTATCAATGAACTCGTCTACATCCACGGGATTGTTCCCTGAGGGGGAAAGTTCGATGTGAGGCGGTGAGGCTGCTCTCGTTGATACCGTTTCTGGTGGTTGGTCTGGTTCAATGAGATGAGGCTTGGAAGCCGCCTTTGCAGCAGCGGCTGCTCCAATTCTCGAAAACATCTCTAGCTCCTCCTCGTGTTCATCGACATCTACTTCACAGCTGACAGTGGATGCCATGCTCATGGTCGACCTGGCAGGAGAAAGAGAGCGCCGTCTGGCCGAGGATCTCATGTGTGATTCTCCCGGGTCATTCTCTGATTCTAATACTACCTCTTCCTCGTCAATTTCATCTTCTGATTGACTTATAATGGACACTCCAGTAGCAGTAGTTGTACCAGTACTAATGCCGGCAGCAGTGGAAGCAGGTGGGAGGGGAGGCGTTGATTTGCATCCCTGAGGCTGTGTTGTTGTTCCATTAGGATGAGGAGGGGAAGAGGAAGACTTATCTGATTGCGGATCATCCGGATTGTGATGATTAGGAGGTGCTGCATCAGATGATGGTCTTTCTTGTTTACCATCAGGGTGATCAGCGGTAGCATCTGAAGAAGCCATGTTGTTCTTTGGCTGGTTCAGGGAAGAATTGGAACTGGATCTTCCATTCAGTGGTTGCTCAGCGTCTTTGGATAATGGCTGATCAGCCTCGGGACCCTTAGGGCCTGATCCTCCTGGGTTAGCAGCCGTTGTATCTGAAGTTGTTGATGAGGTTTGGGTATCCCTAGCTGTTGAAGAACCAACGGTAGGAGTGGTAGTGCTTGTTGTACTACTGGTAGCAGTAGTGAACTGATGAGGCTGAGAAGGAATATCACGCTGTAGTTCTGCAGTCATCATCTATCAAAGGAAGATATCTGTCTGCTGTGTCACTGCCCGCCACCGCCACTGCTCTGGTCGTCAATCAAGGGGATGCTGTCCTGTACGTGACTCGAGAAGACCCCGTAAGCTTCACTCCTCTTAGCTTGGGCCCGACAGATGATAGATGATGCTACCCTCTTGGTGATTGATTGATACCTTGATAACACTTCTTCTAATACCGGTATACCGGTGGTATCTACTATACGCACTATACAATGGATGGACTTCAGGAGCTAATAAGCATCAGTTAGTCAGTCAGTCAAGCTGTATGGTACCGTACTTAGCGCAGTATGTATGTTCGTCGTTGTTGCTGCTACCACCGACCTGATCTGATGAGTTCGCTTGCTTCCATACCATCCGCTTGTTCTTCTGCTGTCTTCCTGAGCCGCCCGCGTTTTCCAGTGACCACACCGTGCAGCTGTTGCCACCAAAAGTTGCACGGGATTCGACTCTGGACTGGACTCAACACACTCAGGGATCAAGCAACCTTACCAGATGACACTACTTTGCACTCATTATTTAGATTAGGAGTAGATAGTTGGTCTTGAGCAGCGTAAGAGACAAGCCAACTTGAAAGGCTCAGTTGGTGTGGCGAGGAGGATCTGAGCTCACTAGTCTAGTAGCTACCGGTAGTTAGCTAGATAGCTAGATAGATAGCCACTAGTAGTCAGGAACCCAGAATACAGAGAGGACAGGACTGAGTTAGGTGAGAGAGTATTGCTGGCTGCTATTCAGGGAGCGCGGGCTGCTTGAGCAAAATAAATAGAAATATGGGAACACACTCACCACGATGCAGGAGCCAAGAATACAGAAATGACAGGACTTGGCGGTCTTGCTTGCAGAGTTTTCAGGCCGGACCCTTGCCAGAAAAAAAACTGAACGTCTAATAACGGATTCAGACAAGATGTGCTTGAGGACGACCCACGAGCCAAGGCCTGGGTATTTCCCACAGTCAAGTCTGCTCATCGGCCACACTGGCCTCCTGAGAGGGTGCGACGCCTGTTAGCTATCTAAGGATTTGTACACTGAGGTCAGAGCCATCATTCACCACAAATCACGAGCTCTTTGTTGAAGAGAGTTGGGGTTGGTAAAGAAGTTTGAAGGGGGTAGTAGGAGAGGTAAGGAAAAGGGATAGTAGGCCGGACCCTTGCCAGAGAAGAACATGAATTAACTTAGGAATTACAAGTCCCCGGAGGGATTAGAGAAGAACAACTTTAGAAGACGATCAGCATGAGAGCGCAGCATGGTCTGGCTTGGCTTGAGCTTGAGCTGGCGCAGGCCAGGAACTGTGCTATAGCTTATTATGTTTAAGGGGCTTAGCACTAAACTAAGGTGCCATTCACGTACCGGTACCGCTATCCCTGCTCGCTCCGCCCTCTGTTGCCATTGAACTCGGGTAGTATACAGTAGTAGTACTGTCACTTGCCTCCCCAACCTCCTCCTCCACGAGATCAGCCACAAGGTAAAGCTCTGTGTTGATCTTGCTGTCTTGTACTGAGTAGGTATATACCAAAGGTGCACGGGAGCTTTGCAGGACTCTATGCAAATCTGCAATAACCAGGTACTAGTACCATACGAAGCATTGCAGGGCTTCCCTGGGGTTTGGGTGTGACTCCATACAGTATTCTATTCATGGCATTGTTGTCACTACTACGGTACATGTAGCAACTACTAGCTAGACTGGCTACCGTACTGACTAGCGTGTTGTAAGTTGTAATTGATGTAGCAACAGCACTGCCGGTGGTGGTCTTGAAGAAGCCGGGGCTGGATGCTGCGGAGGGAAGAGAGAAACGTACCTTACGAGTAGACACAACCTACCGGTAGAGTACAAAACTAATCTTAATAAAGAGGTCATCATTTGCCAGTAAATGCGAAAGATTTCCAGTCTTGTGAACAATGTTCCGGCGGACAAAGTCATGGACAGAAAAACAAAAAAGAGCCTGAGACCATGACGGTCAAAATTGGCTGTGGTCCTCGCCGCTTTGCGCTACTATATATTATGTGGATAGACTAGCTAGCTAGAGTTGTTGGCGTTGTCTACCAAGCAATGGATCTTTGTCCTGACGAGTCCTAGCTAGTACCGGTCATCAATCAGTAAGGGAGAAGGATACAGAATGGCCGACAATGATGATGACACAACGGCTAGTACGCCTCTGGGGAAGCGGCAGTCAAGTCGTCGGGACCGCCGTGCCGCTCGAGCTACGGAAACAGCGCAAGCAACGGATGATGTTGTAGTAGTTCGTGTCAGTAGTAATAGTAATAGAGGTCCTTCGGACGAGCTGGAACGACGGATTGCTGCATCAGTAGAACGACGCAAGAAATCCAATGTGGCAGCCGCGCTTCTGACGGTGGATTTGAAGGAATCGGATTACAACGAGATTTTGGGAACGTACGAGTATTTGGATCACACGGCCGACATTCAGTTGCACAGTTGGGGGAATTCACTAGGCGAAGCGCTGGAGGCGTTGGCATTGGCGCTCTTTGGCTACATGACCAAACTGAGTCTGATCCAAGTGAATGACCAAGACAGTGCCGACTTTGGAACGGACAGTTCCATTTCGGCTCATGATCTGACCAGTTTGGTCTTTAACTTTCTACAAGAATGGTTGTGCATCTTTCACGAATCCGGATTTGTCCCAAGAACGGTTTGCGTACAATCCGTCAATCTAGAAACATTCACGGTGGTCAGCTCGGGAAAGGGAGAAACCATGAAATCACACAAACATGTACAAGGAACAGAAGTCAAGGCTGTCACATACTCCAACCTGCAAGTCATACCAGCCAATAATGATGATGATGATGAGTCGTCGCCACTAGATACCACTGGGAGGTGGGACATTTGGGTGATTCTTGACATTTAATTTGAGCAAATAGAAACAGATGTCAGGGATGAAAGGGAGGGCATCATTGATAGGCAGGCAGGCTGGCAAATAGTTGAGAATCCAGAAAGCAAATCAACCAACGCTAAGACGACGGCACATCAGAGAAAAGATGTGTGTGATTGTTTATGAGTTCCTGCTCTGCTATGCACTAGTATGCTGTGCTTGAGAGGAACAAGGACATGCGGAAATTGTAGAGTGCTGATGTATCGAGCATGGTTGTCCTGGCCTGAGGGAATGGTTGTGCCCAGAATAGCAAATCAACAATGTACTAGTACTCTGCAAATCTGTGTCCTCAAGATCCTGGTCTCTAGAGTTCGCCCCAATGGAACAGGAACCCTTTGATGTTCCAAATAACTAACAAATAACTAACTGTGAGCCTCCTCGATTGTTTCATTGAGGCCAACTTTAGCTAGCTGACACTGGTAGTTCTCTTTGGAGACGAAAATTCAACCTACGATAAGGATTTGTAAATGCTGGGGACTCTAGGATTAAGTGTTCCCTGAGTGTTGCTTGAGGTGCCAGAGATTGTCCTACTAGCTAGCTAGCTAGCAAGCAAGCTAGTTTCCGTAAGGAATAGTCAGTCTAATGAATTGCTTGTTCTGGCGGGGACTGCACCCTCCACGCACGGCACTGAAGTGCAAAGAATTCCAAGGCAGCTTGTTAAAAATTGGTGATGTTCAAACATTTGTCCACGATTACAAAATAGCTACGGTATTTCCGGCAGGCACAGAAACGGCTACAGCTATAACTGATGGCTGTTCTGGCTATAGCTGGCTGTAGACAACCTGCCTTCCCACAGCTTGTGTCCACCCATGTCCAGCTCCCATCTGCACCCGCAGCCCTCTTCCGCCAAGACAAACAATACAACCCACCTTCCAATCAAGACACCACTGTTACCCCTCTTTCGCCCTCGCCCGTCACTCTTTGGCACTCAACCTATCTATTATACCCATCTTGGTCAACACATTCTGAGATCTCTCTCTGTTGCTACGACAACCATCCACTCCCAGCCATGGCACCACCCCTGCAACTGGCCTCTTCCACCCTCAGCATCACAATACCCCACCACCATCCCTTTCCCAGCTACCTTCAAACTGGTGTCACTTAGCCGCCTTACCAATTACTAGCTAGTAGCCTTAGTAAATCCCATAGTAACTTACATAGTAGACAAGTCAGCTAGCGGTAGCTAGGCCTTTCCCAATGCTTCTGCAAGATCCTCCAAAATGGTCTTGTCCGCATAGTGCTTGGCTTCGTCTCTCTTGACGGCCAGGTAGGCCGTGCTGAGTTCCTCCCCCAGCACACTCTTCAAATACGAGTCGGCATCCAAGGCGTCGAGACTTTCCGGCAATGTCTTGGGAAGTGTTTCTTGGTTGTCGTTGCCGGGAGGACGCAACGTGAGTCCTTGCCGCATGCCCTGCATTCCGGCGGCCAACAGTCCCGTCATGGCCATGTACAGGTTACACGTTGAGTCGACGAGTTTGAATTCGGCATGCGTCGCCTTTTGTGGTTGTCCTCCTTCCAAACAAAGTCGAATGGGTGCTTCCTTGTCTTCGACGTCCCATCGCACATCGTGTCCGGTCCAACATCCGGGCCCCACGCGTCGAAAGGAATTGACCGAGGGCATGGTCAATGCCAAGAGAGCCGGCATGTGCCGTAGGATGCCCTCGAGGAAGGAGCCTGCACGAGGACTCAGGTAGGAATCCTCATGGGTGCTGCTGTCGCAGGGAAATCCATTTTTGGTACATGTTGTTGTAGTCGTTCCTTGTTGTTCTTGCTCTGCTTCTAAAAAGGAGAAATGCAAATGACATCCACTTCCGGCTGCCATGGGATTGGTCTTTGGTAAAAAGACGGCTTTCATATGGCGGTATTTGGCCACGGCCCGAATGGTTTCTCGTGCCAACACGACGGCATCGGCGAGAGCCAGCGGATCGGGTTGATGCTGCAAGACGACTTCCAATTGTCCATTGGCACTTTCGGCATGCACGAGCTCGACGGGGATATCTTGTTCTTGTAACTGTTGCAACAAATCGACCAGAAACGGTTCTTGTTCATTGAGTGTAACGGAATCGGCAAACAGAGATCCGTCCACGGGAGTAAATGTAGTGGTATGATACAGTTGAAATTCGAGTTCGGCGCCGATATCAAAGACCAGCCCCAGTTGTTCTCGCGCCGCTTGGACGAGGCGTGCCAGCAATCCACGGGTACAATAGGGACTGAGTTGTTGTTGTTGTTGTTGTTGCTGTTGCTGTTGAGTATCGTATGCAAATCCCAAACAGAGTGCCGTGGCGGGTGCATAGGGCAAGATCCTTAGTGTATTCCAATCGGGTTTTACCATGAGACTTCCCGTGGCGGTCAAGTTGGACGCTGCGACGGGGACATCGGCATAGCGTGGCATACCGGCAAAACAGACCTTGGCAATGGCGACTTGTGGGTTGATACTATCATGATCGTGATTAGTGGTGCTGGCAAGTGAAGATAGAGGTTTTGCTTTGCACCTTACAGCATTGCTGACATCGACGACCGCCAGTCGCAGGAATTGTACCTTGGCACGCTTGAGAGCCCGTAGCAATGCCACAGTGGCACCTGCTGTTGGGGGAGGAAGTTGAAATTGATCCACGGGTGTAATGACAGTGTCATTGTTGGATGTTGTGGTGAGAGAAGATGATTGTACAACCGCCACAGTCTCCTGTTCGTGCTGACCAGTAGCATCAGAATCCGTACTGTTGCCTCGTCGTTGTTGTATGTACTCGTCCATTTCTTGCAGTAGTTGTTGCGTGGATACAATTCTGGCAAATCCCTTCATACCGGCCAATCCCTTCTCGTGCTGTTGAGGACTCTGTGCGGCACAAGCATCTTGTACGACCGTGACAAAGAATCCGGCATCGGCGGCGTCCCGCACGGCCGATTCGACACATTGATCGGTCAATTGTCCCGTCACGACCAATTGTTGGACTTGTAGATTGCGAAGGATATAGGCGAGTCGAGTAGACGAAAAGACGGAACAACTCGTCTTGGGGATCAAAATGTCATTTTCGTGTGGCTGCAGATTCGATAGGAATTTTGCCGGTTGCTTTGGACCTGGTAAGTGGGCGAGTTTGGGACCTGACAGTTTGTAATCCAACGACACGTCGCGACAGTCGTTCGTCAACGCTTGTAGAAAGGTAAAGATCACTTCGCCTCCTTTGGTAGTAGTAGTACTAGTAGCACTACTAGTAGGACTGTCTCGAAAATGGCGCATCTTGGACGCCAGTGCTCCAATATTCGCAATGGCACAAAACAAGGACGTCTGGAACAAGTAATCCTCCTTCTCGTCATTGTCGTCGCTGGGCGAGGAAAGATACTCTTGCACATCAATCACCAACAACGCCGTCGTTGACAAGTCCAACGGAAAATCACTTCGCTTTGAAACTCCAGCCACTACTCGAGACGACAACATCATGGTATTATTACTAGTAGTACCACTCAATTGACTTGGCGGACTGACCAGCAACTAGATTAGTCAAGCAAGGAAAGAGAGATTGGGTGTACAGTACTGGTACATGTAGTATGGCACATCCAACGAAAGAGAAGAGAAAGAAAAAAAAGCCAACAATAATGAGGTCCAGCAGAAAGCAGAATACGAATGATCAATCGAATCGAATCGAAGCCACTCGGCACCAGAACTCCAGCCTGAAGGCTTGTCTCTGTCAATCCCAGTAAATTATATTTAGAATACTCACTTTTTGCTGCAATTGATAAAATCTATGGGCTCGTCACTCTTCGCGATCCAGAATCCAGATCCAAGATCCAAGGGGAAGCTTCAGATGACCCTTGTGATACCTTAAAAACCGGCATAGCTGAATGAGTATCCTTTCTACATTACCACGGATCGGATGTTTCAGTCTTGCTGGGGCTAACGGTTAACGGTTAACGGTTAACGGTTAACGGTTAACGGTTAACGGTTAACGGTTAACGGTTAACGGTTAACGGCTCCTTTTGGAAACTGTGACGGGATTCTTTTCTTTGTATGGGAACTCTGATTCTCCCTTTGGATTTGATTGGCTGGAAAATTCTTTTCTTTTGTTTGTTGTTGTGAACCCTCTGAAAACTTCCTTCCAAGAAATCGAATCTCCCTGAACGAAGGCAAAAGAAAGTCAACGACCGCCAAAGCGAGAACTGCCAAAGCGAGAGCATTGCCATCATCATTGCCAGCATTTATTTGCTTGCTTCGTCTCTGTGTGTTGCCATCAATCCCAATTCGAAATCACTACCACGATGGACCCCAAGGAATTTGATGAAATGGAGACAGAGGAGGAAGTCGAGACAGATGAGGAGGAGGAGCAGACTGTGAAGGTTGGCAACCGCCCCTTCAACACAAGAGCATATGTCAACAACTTCATCAATGACATAGATACGACAAAGACCCAGAAGCACACCCCTGATGCTGGCTATGACCGTATTCTCCAAGTCCATGACCATATGCTGTCTGTGCAAGACTTTGAAGCTAGCCATGACCAATATGGTGTTGGATCCTGGGACTCAACCAGACAGCGCTACATGAAGATGACAGACAAGAAGGAGAGTGAATTTGATGGACAGTTGCTAGCGGCATTGGCCGACAGGGTGGAGAACCCCATAGAACGGCAACAAGACCTGAAGATGTGGTTGCTCGGGGCCGCTGCTTTTTGTACTACAAGCCAGATAGTGGAAATGACTTGCCGATTCCCAAGCCATTGGCAGACGTGTATGATTTGCTGATTGCAATCCAAGCAATCTGTCGATTTGAGACTCGGAAGGAGTTGATGTTCTTTTTTCGCAAGAACTTTTACTTCAGCAAGAAGGTCCTCGAGAATGTCCCATTCCTTCAAGGCGATGCAGTGGATAAATTTCTAGCCATTGGCAGACAGCTCTCAGCTTTGCCCATGTCTACCACTCCTGGTCTGGCACCCCAACAACAACCCGGAGCATACGGGCCCCTCGTTCCAGCGGCAGCCTGGCAACATGAGGGCTACATGGTCCCACACCAGCCCCCAGCAGCAGCAGCATACGGGCCATCGGCAGCCTCACAACATGGGGGCTCATTGGTCCCTCACCAACAACCACCAGCAGCAGCATATGTAGGCTCCTTGGTTGCTCACCAACCAGCAACATTGGGGCCCGGGACCTTTGCAGGGCTTCCAGCAGGGCTGTCGAACTTGAATATCACCATCCATACCGGTAGCCATAATGATACAATCCACCACAATGCTGCCCCGACGGCGTCTGGATCAGGAGTAGGAGTCGACGTCAGTGCGGCCAAGGCCTTCATGGAAAAACAGAGTGAAGACATGGCTG